GATGGGTCGCATGAGGTGCTGATCACGAACGAGCAGGCTCTGGCGACATTGCGTTCGGACTCGAGTTCTAGAATCACCACCACACTTGATATCACACACATCTCGTCCAACGTCATCTCCCGGGGCATTTCCCTCCACCTTCTCGTCCGCGGGCAAGTCGACGATGACCTTGGGGCCTGTGTTCAACCTCAACCTCAACATGGACCTGCAGAGTCTCTTCACGGTCACGAAGCCGCTTGCGGAGCAGGCGAGCGAGGACACGGTGCCCCTCGACCACTTCGTCATGCTCGGCGGGTACCACCACCTGAACAGCGTCGGTGGGTCGAAGCGGGTGGTCAACACCATCTTCACGTGCGCACTCCCATCTACGTTTGCTACTGCGGAGGCTGACCGAATCTTGTAGGAACTTCGTCCTCCCTCCCTTCGTCGATAAGGCGTTCACAAGGCTCGCCACGGGCTTGCCACGGAGGTCGCGCTCACTGTGGGCGTCACGATCGGGGAGTACTCGACTACGCTCTCTTACACGCAGCCGAACGTGACGATCAAGACGGACACGACCCAATCCTGATCCTGCCCGTGCCACTTGCGCAGCCAATCGTGCAGGATGTTGTGTCTGGCTCCATGCTCTGGACCAACTTGACGGTGGTGATCAAGGGTGTGCAGGAGAACCCGTCTGGGACGGTTCGACAAACCTGAAGGGGTCGATCACCAATGCCAGACCATGTATGTTCCCGCCCTCTTTGCCTCTCTGATTCGTTCTCATTCGGCGACCATATCATGCAGTCGACGCGAAGATCGCGTCCCTGAGGGTCTCACCATTGTCTGGAACGACAAGGCTCTGGGGAGCATCAAGATGCCGGACATGGACGTGGTGGGCGGTGTCGGCGCACCGAGCTTCGAGGTCGACAACATTCGCAGTTGCGGACGTCGCAGACGTCGGGACTTCACAAAGACGGTGCTGATGGAGAGAGTTCGAGTACTACCAGGCTCACTCCGGCGCCTTCCAACAGCGACACCCCTCCAGCACATCAGCCTCTCCAGGCTCTACCTCTCCTCCCGCTCCACCACGATGCCTCTGCTAACGAGCTCAAGTATTCGCGCCATGCAGGTCGCTTCACCGCTTTCAATGCCAACGCTATGCGTTATCGCCAGCTCGTATGTGACACATCCGCTTCTCTTTGCTGCCACATCTCGCGCTCCTAGCTCTAGCCCCGTCTAGATCCGTCCGAGGTGTCCACCTGCGCCATGCGACCTGTGACTCGACCTTTCATCCTGTCCAATTACGACAACAACGATGGGAAGGCTCGTCAGGCTCCTCCCCGCACAATAGCACGCACGCAAAGGTGCAGGTGATCAAGAAGCTAGACCAGGCGAAGTGGCTAGCGAGTACCTGGCAGCGTAAGGTCACCGCTTTAACGTCCTCCCTGGACAGCACGGGGACACGTTCTACCCCACTGCAGTGCTGCCGCGCGAGATCCGCCTTGGTCTCGCCTGCTCGAGCCCCTACGGTGAGCCGCCGGTGAGCCCTGTGAAGTGTATTGTGGGCATGCACGCGAGTGCCTGCCTCCACCTTGCCGGCAATGCGGACAAGGACGCAGAAAAGAAAGAGTTGCCGAGTGGCTGGAGGAGTCGGCGCTGCCGCAGCGGTGGACCTGGCGCGCGCAGGAACGAGGCAGTCTCGAGGATGATCTGACACACTTCCGATATCCAAGGTGAGCATTCTTCTGACATATTACGTCTCTTGCAATGTGCTCAAGTGTACGCTGATCGCCAACATGAAACCTCGTGGAACACATGAGGTGATCGGACTTGTTGACAGATTGAACACGCAGCGCAGCGATCGATGGGTGAATGCCCGGCGAGAAGCTGCCATGAGGTTGAGGTCGAGGACTTCAATCCGGACCTGAACCATCGCGGAGCTCAGGACGCTCTCAAAATCTGAGGGCTCGGCGAAAGCAGGTGTGCACTCATCGAAAATAGGTAGCACGTCATCACCACTGACATCTCACCCACTGGACAATCGGACGTATAAATACCAAGCCATCCAGACTTCAGACTCCAGGCCCGTTCACCACCGGCACCGGCCCAGTCATCGCTCCCTTCCCCCGCTTGACTGAACGTTCAAAGGGTCCGTAGTAGACTCTCACTCTATGATTCTCATACTAACACCTCTTCGTCTGCAGATGACGTCCGCCAGCGGCGATGCTCCACTAGCATTGGGACCACGCCTACTGCCCCTGGCCCCATTATTTTGCCCCCGCCCAACGCTTCAATCGATGAGTACCAGGAGGTACGCAACTTACGCACACACTTCCCTTATTGAGTAAGCACTCACCGAACATTTGTCGTTCTTACAGGCTCTCTACCAAGCACACAGGAAGAACGATCAGCTTCACAAGCTTGTCGGTGCGGCAAACCTTCAAATTCAAGACCTCCACGACAGCTCCAGCAAGTCGAAGAAGAAAAAGAAGGCCCCCGGGGTTCACGATCTCGACGACGATGTCAAGGCGGATGCTTATAGGTACGGGCTGAGGGTGACGCTCTGGCTCTTCAACGGTGTTCTCACGAGAGCTGCCAACCCGGCCACCTGCGATCCACGCAACACCGAGTGGCGCTGGAAGACCCCTGACCCCAGTGACGAGGATCCTCACGACCGGTCCCACCAGGCGCGTGCCGCTGAGCTTCGCGAATTTCTCTCTCCGAACGTCCTCAAAGCCTTCCATCGTGAGTCGATTCGAGACAATGTAAGCTGTTCCATTCTACTTCTACGCAGATACGAGATGTTTACCGCTACAAAATCGGGCAGTTCGCCCGTCACATTGGCAGCCTCAAGACCAATGTGATCACGCACAGCAAGCAGATGCGGGCTGAGATCTTCTCGCACATTGACTCCCTCCGCGACGTCCAATGGTCGTCCAGCAACTCTCTGAAGACTCATCCGATCTTGTCTCATCTCCGTGGTGATGATCACGACGGTCCTTGGGCCCCTTTCTGCACTCTGGCGGAAAGGAGAAGGAAAATTGCGTTTATAACCGGCTACAGGCCCCAGCAATTCTCAAGGTGAGCCTCGTGAAGTTTACGTCCACGAGCTTTGCCTTCTAACGTCCTTTGTCGTGTGTTTAGACCTGTCGCATCATGATGTTCTCAAAGACCGCACTCACGCGCTCGAAACCTGCATCTAACTCTACCGGGGTCAAGTACAACATCACACGGGCAACTATTGGTATGGTCGCAATGGCGACTGTGGTCGTGAGTTATTTTCTCCACCTTGCGTTGCCTGTCCTGAGATCCCTGCGTGGCAGACCAGATATCTTCTTTCTTTCGACTCTTGCTTCTCCTCAGTCGGGCCTGACTCACACCGGGATTACGAAGCCGACTACGAAGAATACTTCAAGTGGATGTACATCAACCAAGATACAAAGATTGTACGGTTCATTCTCAAGGCATTCAACGACTTCGTGTTCAATGGCGGCCTCCAGCACACCATCGCGGTCGAGAACGTCGAAGTTGACCTTGCTAACGACTCCGATGTAGTAGATCTCGACGATCTTCCTTCCGATCTAGAGGACGACTTGCATGTGGGCACTTCTCGCCGAGAAGGTCAGGTCTTACAGCATGCATCGGCATCTACAACGTTATCCCATCCTGCCCACCAGTCAAACACGTCGAGCACGCCCGCCTCCGAGTCCACACTGTCGAGCCACTCCGTCGCTTCGACCTCCATTGTGTCGGGAGCACAGGTGATTTCCCTGGTGCATCCGTTGCGATAGCCTATCGGCAGCTACGGATGCATCTGGACGGATCTGGCGATCCGTGATGCGCGCCCGTAGAGACGCGCCTCGGTGGGCGGCAAGGACGCGTGGCGCGCATTGACGCGTGGCTGTGATGCACGCCACGCGTCCCTCCCGCCGTCCTTGCTCTCCTCCCCGCCTCCTCTTCCTCCTCCTGCTCCGCCTCCACCGTCCAGGCAGACGATAGCGACTATACAGTCGTCCTTCGTCTGCTATTGGACTCCGGTGTCACCTGGTGACACCGTTCAGCTCCCCTCCTCCCCCTCCCTCGACCTCAACCTCGACCTCCATGCCGTCCTTCGCCCACTTTGCCGGCTGCGTCCACACCGCGGGAGGACGTCCATCCGGACGTCCTCAGCATGGAGATTGGAATTAGGGGGCCGCGGCGATGTACCGTGGCCCTTGTTTTGGTGAGTCCCCCGCTCCGCCCTCCTGCACTCCCAATGTTCACCTCTCCTCTCCGGCTTCGCCCATCCGGCCTGCCAGCCTTGATCTCCGTGTCCACCTCGCCCACCTCCACGCTGCTCTCCGCCCACCTTCGCGCAGCCCGCCTGCGCCCGCACACCCTCCTCCGCCTCCCCCACCTCCATGTCGCCCTCCTCCGTGTCTCGCCCGCCTCCATGCGGCCCTCCTCCTCCACGCGCGTCGCCCACCTCCGCGTCATCACTCTCCTCCATGTCGCCCGCGTCCGCGTCCGCGCCGCCTCTCGCCACCCGCATCTATGCGCGTCACTAGGCTCCCCCTCCTTCGCCTCGTCCCGGCCCCCCGCGTCCGCGTCTGCGCTCCTCCTCCACGCTCCTCCTCCTCCGCGTTGCCCGCCTCCTCCGGCTCGTCCACTTCCGCCCGTGCCGCCCTCCTCTGCCTCCGCCTCCTCCCGCGAGCCCTCCGCGTCGCCCTCCTCCGCGCACCTTCTCCGCACGCGCGGCCCTCCTCCGCGTCGTCCCGGCCCACGTCACCTCCTCCGCCGACGTCGCCTCCTCCGCTCGCGTCGCCCGCCCTCGGTGCTCTGCGCCTCCTCCCCCTTCACACCACACACCCCCGCCCGCGTCGCCCACCACCTACTCCGCCTCGTCCCGGCCCTCCGCGTCCCTCCACGAGCCCTCCGCGTCCCTCCGCGAGCCCTCCACGTCGCTCTCCTCTGCGTCACTTGCCTTCGCGTCGCCCGCCTCCGCGTCTCCCGCGTTCACGTCGCCCACTCGCCCACCTCCTCCGCCTTGTCCCGAGGGGCATGGTGTTACTTACTAGCACACCTATGTAGCAGTTTACTAATAAATATATTTTTATCACTAATCATATACAAGATGTGGTGTGAAACAAAGAGGGAGGCGAGCTCACTGTCCAAGACAGCGAGCTCAGGTGGCGGCGCCTGAGGCGCCGGTGTCTGGACATCCGGGTGCGACGCTGTCCCAGGGGGTGCGCGAGCGCGCTTGGGGAAGGCGGTGTCGAGCGCAACCGGGCCGGCCGGCACCAGATGCATCCGCACCTGCTGATAGGCTGTCACAACGGATGCACCTGGCGAATCACTACTGTAGGCGCCTCGCGCTCTACGTGGACGCGCTCTTTCCGTGTCTCGACTTGCCCGCCTCCCCCTTACGTGCAGACGGCAACGAATCGGAGCCCGGCTGCTTCCCGTTTGGAAATCGGGTTACGAGGCTGCTCGTGATGTTGCAAATGTCCAGAGGACGCGAGGTGCGTAGCGGTGAGATGCCCGCGCCCATGTAGGATGTTGGGGCCGTGGATGCTCATCAGCACGACTTATCGGCCTCTCGAACGCAACTTTGACCTCCCCTGATACACACGAGCCCCATGGTAGCCCCCTTCGGACAACTCCCTCTCCCCTCACCCCTCGCCTCGCCAGCCGCATCCTTCAACGCCATCGGGACGATACAGAACCCCACACTCCTCCTTGTACACGAGAAGCCGGACTGAGAACGACCTCCCCACGGCCCTCGGCCCCTCACAGCCATCGCTCCACCCTCGCGCCCGCGCTCCGGGTGCGCTGTACATGCTCGCCTTTGCCTTCCCCCACACGACTTCCATCGACCGACCCCTACCGCACCCCAGCGGGCTTTTGGAACGACATCGAATCTATTCAATAACCACTTCTGCTTGACCTCCACCTCCACGTGCCGTCTATGGCTATGTCTCCTCATTCAAGGCCAGCATGCGCCTCCTTTGGCGAAGGCTCGCCGGCGTGACTGCAGCTTGTCTCGGCTCGGGGTGCGACGCGGCGGGTTCGAGCGACGGACGAAAAATGCCGACGGTTTTTCTGCACACGCATTTGAGCATCCCCGCGCGATGTGCATCCGAGTCCACTCACGACATCCTCGTCGCATCGTCTTCCGCTCGGCCGTCGTACCTCCCCTCATCGACGCGCCCTTGGATGCCTCTCAGAGTTCTCTCTCCCCTCCAACTTGTTGTCGCATCCTCTGTCGATGTGCCGCCAGCCACGTCTTAATGGCTCCACGCTGTGGGAACGTTTACGTTGTGTATGGCGTCTGTCTATCCTACTTCTCGTCCTGGAAGGCCGTGTCCACATACATAAGAAGGCGCCGTTGATGAAACATGACACTCGTGCGATTCGTTCGTTCCTTGGAAAGAGGGAAGTCCGTTGTGAGAGAGATGCATCCTATGCGTTCGAAGAGCTACAGACGAAGAAGGGTCCAATGGGTATGCGACAAAACAACAGAGAGCATTGACGAGATGATGATAGATAGTGGAGAAGGCAGTGGGGTCATGAAGCGGTGGTACAAACAGTACAACAGACGGCTGAATGCACATAGTACAACACGTGGGGAGGGTGAAGGGTCGGAAGCGACAGGGGGTGAATTGAGAGCATCCAGCGCTCGACAGCCAGGTCATGAGCTCGTGTAGTCGAAGTCGGGGAACCGGTCGCCATACGGGTCTGGGGTCATCTGCCCATACTGTGACGCCGCGTTTTCCTCCGGATAACGCTCAAATCTAGAGGGTAGCGTTAGCAATCAACGCCACACATATATCCAGAAACGCCGCCACTCACGCGCTGGCATCACCGTCGCTCGCGATCTTGGGCAGGTATGGCGCCGTGATTTCACGGTTGAGTAACTTCTTCCAGTCGACCTCCGCGAACCACGGGTGGGCGAACACGTCGCCCGCGCCGTGTAACATGTTCCCGAACCGCTTTGAAGGGTCGCGCTCCATGAACTTAAGAATAAGGTCCGTTGCGTTGGGATGGAACGCCGGCCACTTGACGCACGACGGGCCCTGCGCAATCTTCTCGTAGAGGACGACAGGAGAGATGTCGGGTTCATGGAAAGGGGGCAGGCCAGAGAGCATCTCGAAGATGAGCACGCCAAGGGCGTACCAGTCTACGGACTTGTTGTAACGCGCGTTCCCAATGATCTGCAGGCGAAGTCAGTACATGCAAGACGAATAGATAGGGGGAAACGAACTTCGGGTGCGAGGTAGTCTGGGGTACCGCACAGCGTCCAAACGGTAGTGTTACAGTATTTTGCGAAGCCGAAGTCGGCGATTTTGATATGACCGTCAAAGTTCAGGAGGATGTTCTCGGGCTTCAGGTCACGGTAAATGATATCTTGCGAGTGCAAATAGTTCAAGGCGAGCGCAACTTCTGCGGCATAGAATTTTGCTACCGGGTCGGGGAACCGCTGCACGGAGATCCTGAGTGGCTGCATGCGCGCGAACGCAGGGCTGCTTACGTTTGATCTCCGGAGGAGCGTGAAAAGCTCGCCACCCGGCACAAAGTCCATGACCATGTACAAATTTGCAGTGTCTTGGAACGCGCCCCAGAGGTTGATGATGAACGGATGTTGCACCGCCTTGAGCATCATCTGCTCGTTGCGGGTATGCGTTTCCTGCTTCATGCGCACGATCCGGTCTTTGCTGAGTACCTTGATCGCGTAGAAGCGAAGGTTGTGTTTGCTGCGCACTGTGGGTATACGCGCGTCAGCCTGGTGCGTATTGGAGATGTGGCGCATTAAGTTGCGGCTTAACTCGCGCATCATATCTAAGTAGTTGGGGATGGATGCTTAGGTTGTCCGAACAGCATACCGCTGATCAGATCTCTCGCTCGAGCACCCGTGCGAGATTAAGCTGAGCAGTGCTCGGCGAGTCGCCCATCGCTCGACGACCCATCCATCCTCCGCAAATCGCGACCAGCGACGACCGTCGCCTCATCCGATGCAACGAAAAGACGCTGCCCAGGCTTTGCAAACCGTTTGACCATACCGGCCATCCAACCTTCAGTTACCCCTCTCCCTGGGTCCCCGCCAACCCTCTTTCTTATATGCCTCGCAGCCGCAAACGAAGAGCATACACTCACCCAGATGCACACGGCCGAAGCTCCCGGTGCCAAGGGTGCGCTGGATGATGAAATCGGAGAGACGGTACGCGCCCATCGTGCGGCGGACCTGGACGGTGGCCGGCTCCTCTGCCACGGCGGGGACGGCGGGGTGCTGCTGCTCAGACTGGTGCTTGACCCATTCGTGCAGCGAGGTGCGCTCGGTCGATATCGACAGGCGCGTCTCGTGCGAGAGCGTGGACTGGGTGTAGGCGGAGGAGGTGGCCGAGGCGGAGGACGAGGACGCGGTGTCGCCGTGGTTGCGGAGGTGGAACTTGGACGCCATGCGCTTGATCATCTCTGCGCGCGGCGCGAGAGGGAGAGGGGGTTGGGGGCGGAGAGAAGAGGGGCCGTGGAGGGGTGGGTGCGCGGGAGGGGGAGGAGATGGGATGGGAAGGAGAACAAGGACGGGCGATGGAGGCGACGGTCATTGTTCCTCGCTGGGCGTCCGGTCTGTCCCCGATGCAATCTTTGTTTGGCTGCCACTGCCGCTTTTGTTCTCGCTGTGCACACAGTCGCGACCATCGTGCGCCCTCTGCGAACGCGAAACTCGAGTGCGGCCGCCCCCGACATACTTATCCTATGTTCAACTGCGAAACATTACAGATAACCGCCCTGTGATCATACCTGACCAATTGTCACGTGCACTGACCCGGCATCTTGCGGCCCGGCTGAAGTGCTCAGACTACGAGTCGACATT